TTCCCTTTGAACACCAAAAGGTATTTCTCGCGCTTCCGGCGGTCGGCGCTCTTCGCGGCCGTCTGTGGGCGGAGTCGTGAGAAGGCTTACGGAGAAGGCTGCGATTGGCTTACGGTTCGGGTGTTGGCGTCCAATAAGAGGCGAGTGTTGGGCGAGAAGGCGGGGCCTCGGGTCGGATGGTTGCGCGCAAACAATGGGAGCGAGACGTCGAAATCGGGACGATATGATTGGCGCGATTGCGAGGCCTTCACGAGAATCGCTGCAAAGAGATTGGATGAGAGACGCGATGACGTCAGAGACGGAGACAAACCGTTGTCGAGGAGAGCGGCGATTGGGCCGTAATTGTGGCCGAAAGAGAAGTCGAGTTCGCGGTATTGCGGCCACGAACCCGAGTACAGGTTGAAGAGGAGGTGATTGCGGGCCCCGAAGAGCGGCGTGAATGACGTCATCGCCGGCGAGGGTTTCTAAGGGAAAGCGTTAGAGGAAAGGCTTTGTTTTGCAAACGCGGTCTTCACCTGGAAGTCCTGAGAGAGCGGATCCCTGTCGACGGTGTCCCAGACGGTGGTCACGAAGAGACACGCTGTGGAGGAATGCGAGCATTAGTGGCGCGAAAGAGAGGAGTCTTCAGACCTTTGTTTGGATCGCTTTCGTAGTATTTCGAGGTTTTGATGATTTCGACGATTTTGGCGAAACTCGGACTCAATTTGTGGCCGAAATCGGGGTATAAATGGATTTTGAGGCCGTTTTGCGGCGAATCGCGACATCGCGTGAAGTCGAAGCACGAACTCATCCGACACTCGTTTCCGGTCCTCCGATTGGGCGCCGATTCGGCGGCTTTTCGGCCGAAAGTCCGCTCGAAGTCGTAGTAATGGTTGTCGTGTGCGAGGAGTGTGTCGTTCGTAACGTCGTCTGTGGTGTCGTCGGTCCGTCGCATCCGATTGACGCCGAAGTGAATGAACGCCAGAAACGCGACGAAAAGCAAAAGAAAGCGTTTTCGGGCTTTCATTGCGTTTTCAAACCTTTATTTACATTCAAATCATTTCAAAACATTGCAATCAATGCCAACACTTCTGACGCCATCTGACGGCCAATGAAAACAGCGTTGAAATGAAAATCAATTTTATTTCGGAATCAAAAGTAAAGAAACAAAAGGATTGTCACAAAAGGGACCGAAAATCCGGAGAAAAGAAACATTGAATTCGTTTTAATTTTAAGAGTTTTTCGATTTTTTTGCGTATTTTTCGGGATTTCTTCGTCAAAATTCACTCCTTCTTGATCTGAGCCGCGATTTCCTTCGCGTGATGCGCCTGAAGGACGGCCACCGCTTCGTCCACTTTGGCCTTCAGAGACGCGTTGTGTTCCAACATATGGAGCAGTTCCGAGTTGTCGATCTCCAGAAGCATTCCTGTGATTTTTCCCGCCATCTCCTGATGCATCGAATGGATGACCGGAAAGAGACGTTCGCCTGCAATGAGAGCGCAATGTTAGACAGAGTGGACAACAGAGTGGACAACAGAGAGGACGACGCGTGACGTCATGACGACCGCCAGTCAGACGTAAAAAGGACATCAAAGGGTCAGACATATGCTTGTCTTTGCTCATCACTTGGCGGTCGTCATGACAACCGAATACTTGCCTAACATCTGCTTCTGTTCCTGAGGCGACGCTTCGGCCAAAAGGCTGGCCGTCAGCGGCTGTTGTCCGGCGACTGTCAGGCCTTCGGAAGCCGACTGTTGGAACACTTGCGGCTGTTTT